GTATCCTTATTCAAGGTTTCCTAAGAATCAGCCTGAATAAATGAGACGAAATTTTCATGCATCCATTGGTTGTCGTATATTACGCGACGGCGGTTACACTCTCATGGTAGCGGACATTGTCTACTTATAGTCTCATTTTATTTACATGAATTTTTTGTATAGACACATACACAGAAAAACGCTTTCAGGGAGAGTCTAAACGCTGTGTGGGGAGATGGAGGAGTGACTTACTCAGTGAACGAACGACCACCGCCATTTGTACCTCCAGCGATTCCTCTGATGAGTATAAACAGTCCAGCTCAGCACCAGCCTCGTAGTCCAGATCAGCTTCTCACGCATGTCCCTTTACCACCTGCGAAACCTCCAGTCACAAAGGTATTTTGGTACACTTCGAAAATTCGTTTTTATTTCGTGGTTCTGTTTTTCTCTTGAAATTACGGTTGGAGTAGAGTAAGCCACTTTTCTTCTGGCGCCGGAAATAGCGCAAGGAATAAGAGCTTGTTATAAAACCATGCTGCCTTTTGTCGTGCGTAGCTTGACGATCATAAAGAAATCGACAATAAGCTGACTGCTATTCGTAGTTGTGTACTGGTTTGCATAGTGTGCCCTTGAAAGGCGATATTGTTTTTAGCCCCACTTCACAAGAACGCCCTCTGTACGACCCAAGGAGCCTCCTCCAATGGTACCCGTTCGCCCACGTGACTCAGTAGTACAGGAATTGTACAAGGAACACGGCGCCGAGATGGGGATCAAGAGGTACTGTTCAAGATTTTAACTATTCCCTGCTTGGTACAGATATCGCTTTAATAATATGTAAAATCAGTCTGCCTTGTGAAAACTAATTTGATAGTGCTTTCCCTGAAATAGGCGACAGCGTTATTTTTTTGCTTTAATGATTTTTTTACTTAAATTTTCCATTTATTCAGTCCACGCATTGATTTTGCTTCACGAGATCTTCCGACTCCACCACCTGATGATCCAACTGGAACCATGAAAAAAGACACACTTCGGCCGATACAACCACCGCCACCTCCTCCTAAACATCAGGTATTTCCGAGGATTTTCCCGACTGTTTTTTACCTGCACCTTCGTTTCCTGTCCCTTTCCACTTCGCGCTGTTATACGGCCTTTTCCGTCTTCAATGTGGCACAGCGCGAAGTTTGAAGTGACAGATTATTAGCGTAAGTTGGTTTTAGTGATTTCAGAAACCTCAATCGATTAACGAATTTCCTAATCGCCCACCATTACCGGCGAAGCCTCCCGAAATTCTTAACGGGACCGACAAAGGTGTTGGTGTTCGTGAGCTCGCTGCCAGGTTTGACGCTCAGCGGACAGCCAGAGCTAATTAAAGTCTAGTTAAAGGTTTTTATTTATCCTCATCATTGATCTTATTTTTACGCATATTTGGTTGTCGTTATATTTACCGATCTTTCTGCGTTTTCATTTACGCCTGTCGTTATTGTGCTTTCTCCACGTCTACGCATCACAACACATTCTTACTTGCGAAATTTCTACGGGCGTTTTTTCTTCTTTCGTCAGTTTTTCACTGTATTTTTCATTTATTTGCAACCACCTCATTTTGACACTATGACTTTTGGTAAACTTCTCCGGTGCTTGGCGTATTTTTTTATGTAAAACAAAACAGGGTTGCGAGAAACTGCACAGCAACACTGCGCCATTTGTTATTGCGACACGTCATGCTCCGTTGAATTATGGCGAAAGCCTAAATAGGGTTTTAAATGAGTCTTTTTTGTTCTTTTTCTAGGAAGGAACGAAATCGTTTTTAGTGACTATTAATTTTTTATGTTGCTCGATTGCTTCTAGTATACCTTCTTTGATCGTTTTTCCTTATCGAAGCTTTCTTTTTTTAGAAGATATGTTTTTTGATGTGGTTTTTTGTATTGCTCTGGCAGCGATATAGATCTTCATGCTTGTTGTTCAAGATTATCCTATCTCGTATGTGCACATCATTTCATGAAATGTGATTCAAATAAATCGTATTGCTATTAAAGGCATGCCCCAGGATCACATTGGTGTGGCTCTTGCACACGAATGCGAATGTATTGGTGCGAAGTGGGCCGGCAGTAAAGAAAAAAGGAAAAGAATCCGTCAAAAACGCTTAGGTTAAGGGCTCACTCACCTTCCTAATCGGCTGTGCTAAGGGAATGAGAGACTAAGCGCGGAGAGGAGAGTATGAGGCGAGAGAGCGCTACAGATGAGAGAGCGCCAGACAACAGCCTGATAAGAGAAAAAAAGTCTGCAGCTTGGGCAGCTTACTTTGCAAGGGCCCAAGCGCTCTTGTCGGTTGGTTTCCGTGCACGAGAACGCCATTTGTGATTGTTATCTAGGGTTCTATACCTACAGACCGAAGGGAAGCGTTCACACGACCTCTGCGTGGGTTGTGCCTTTAAGCTGTCAATTTTTGAGAAATGGTAGTGGGCCAATGCTGTGAATCATATAGAGCACTACTGAGTTGATGAAGTCCCTGATGGCTGAGTTTTCGATAAAAGGGAGTTCATTAGAAATCAACGTAAAAGCGGCCATTGACACAGGGGTGACGAGAAAACTCAAGGGAAGAGCGTGACCTGTACGACCCTGCTTGACCACTAAGGGCCTACCTTTATCGGCAAAACGCGCATCACTTCGCACCCTGGGCCCGCCTGCGTTTCCTTAGGTATGTTTCCCCTTTTTCGACCCCTGACGTTATCCTGAAGTTTTCCTTGGTTGAACGTAGATCATCGAAATACAATTGCGTGTGAAGGTGGTGTAATTGTTTTCGGACGAACCAATCTGGCGTCTCACGACTACTGTGGTCTTACACACTCATACAGCCGCACTGTAATCGGCTCACTAGTTCGGAATCCTCATCACCTCGAGGCTCAGCCCTAGGGCTATCACCTTTTTCCTTGGGATTTGAGCCTTGCAAGGCTCCGTCCTTTAATCGTCCAGCCATTCGCGGCTGGACCATCGAGGGGAGTTCAAGCGCAAGCAGTCGCGTGCGAGAAAGCTGAGATTGATAAAGATGAGTGAAGTACAGGATCAACCATATGTTCGAACTGTTCGGATGAGGGATCGTATTTTGCTTATGAAGAGGTGAAGATCATCGCAAACTCAGGGCCTGTGACGGCAGTCGTGGCGATTTCGTCACTTTTAGATGAATGGGAGAGGGAAAAGTACATGAATTTGTGAAAAAAAAATGAAAAAAGCTGCCCTTACAGTTCGACCATTCCGTATATCCCTGGCAGTCGCCGCGATGAGTCAACAGCTTACTAGAGGCTTGAAGGAGGATAACGAGCATTTCAAGTTTATGCACTCTATATGAATCTAGAACATGCTGTAAACTCAGGCTCGCATCAGTACGACAAGGATGAGAATGGATGGGAACTTTAGGTCATAGCACGATGAAATAGACTTTCAAATGCCTTCGCAACTTTGAACCACAGGTGCATGCGTGGCGCGTCCCAAAACAGAACTTGTTAGTGATTGTTTGTAAATATTGTTCTAGACGGGTTTTTAGTGTATTCAGATGAAATATACGAGCGAGGAAGTGCCACTACATGAATGGAATGACTCCTCGAGGCTGAAAACAGAAGTTTCAGAGAGACAGCTTTTCGATGGAAACTTCTTCAAGATTATTTTGATGTACGTTAGAAAGCGTAAAACTTCTAGTTTTGAAAATGTCTTTTCCCCACCAAAACAGATCCTTTGAGGGAGGCTATGACTGTAAAAATCACGAAAACTCGAAGTATGTAACTTCTCGAAGACCTAGTAAAGAAAGTGCGAACTATGATTTTTTTCGAATAGTGAACAATGAGAAGCGATCAAGCTCTTACTGGAAAGCTCAGTTCCTGCATTTTCTTGCGGTGCCAAAAGTTCGCTATAAAAAAACGATGAGAAGGAAGTTATGGTCAATGGAAGCTCAAAAACTCGCGTTTTCAAAAAATTGTTGAACGTCAACCTCCTATGTATCTCCCCGAAAGTGCGAACGTGTGACTTTTCCAAAAATGAACTTTGAGAAATGGCTAGGTGTTTGTTAGAAAGAGAAAATCCTGTAATTTCTTGTAATGCTAAAAGGTCATGCTAAAAGTTTGCCACAGAAATGAAAAAGAAAAAGGTTATGGTCATTAAAAGCCCAAAAACCCGCGTTCGCACAAAAAAAGTGCTAGAACAGGTAATTTTTCGGAAAAAACTGAAGTATCACAAAACTTCTGGTAGTCTTCGAATAGGAAAATATTTGAGCTCCCTAAATTTTTAACTTCCATTCGAAAATCGCATATGAATTATGTGATGACCTTACAAAGATGAAGGTGCACCTTCTTATAAGTTGGTTTTTCCACTTTACAACAAAAGCACCTTCCCGCATTCGAGGTAATTTTAGAACTCTTTGTAAGCGAACGTCATGCGTATTTAGAATCTACCTAAATGTTTAGGAAATTTATGACTCCAAGAAATTTATGTCTCTTCGAAATATCTTCTTTCACCTCGCCCCGTCTTTCATTGCGCAATGAACAGTAGGTTAATAAACTTGAAAAGTGCAAACGTGACGATTATTCTGGTGACGTACGGGGCAAAGCTAGCAAGAGGATATGTATTAATAATATTTAATTCAAAGCATGAGAGGGATGCTCGGGTGTAGGTCAAATACGAGTTATTATTATTTTTATTATTAGGTTGGTGCAAAAGTCTTGAGACACAAATTTACATGGATCGTCATGTCTCTACAAGAATCTTTGCCACCGTCATGATTTCACCATATTCTAGAACAATCTCAGAGTTACCGCTAGCAGTATTTAAATAGGTCCCCGAGCCCTTCTGGTATAAACCATGTCGCAATTGTCAAGAAGTCAACTTCGAGCAATCGTCTTCTACGAGTGGCGCCGCGGTTCCAGTGCTCGTTCCGCTGCCTCCAATATCAACACTGCATTCGGAGAGAACCTCGTCAGCCATGCGACGGTTAGTCGTTTATTCGCTCGTTTTCAGTCTGGAGATACGATGCTCGACGACAACCCCCGCTCCGGGCGACCAGTTGTTATCAAAGACGACCGACTTCTCAGCGAGGTGAAGGAGAAGCCGGAGGCTACGAGCAGGGAATTGGCGGAGCTTCTCGAGTGCGATCACAGCAACGTCGTTCGACACCTTCACGAGCACGGTTACAGGAAAGTTTTTGCTCGATGGATTCCGCACCAACTGACCGACGATCTGCGTCACACGCGTGTCTCAATCGCCCAGTCGCTCCTCCTTACCCCAAATCGGAAGGAGTTTTTGCAGGATCTGGTTACCGGGGATGAGAGCTGGATCTTCTACGACACAACAAATGGGTCGCAGTCTGGCTCTCAAAAGGAGAAGATCCACCCGTGCAGCCCAAGCCGGCACAGCATTCAAAGAAGGTTTTG